GGGTACGTATTTTATAATGAATTTGCTAAGCTTTTCCATCTATACTAATTTATTTGTTGATAGACGGACCACTTGAGACCGGCTACACCGGTTTGGTTATTTTTGAAATACCTATCCGTAACTAGCTGTTAGCCGCGTTTTTACCTATGCTATTGAAGGAAAATATTGGATTTTGTTACTGTCTTCCCAAGAAACTTCACTCAAATGAATCACTGCATAACATTCTGTTACGACATAAAATAAAGACAGACATCCATACTCTCCTATTTATCGTATAGATAGTCCGAATAAGGTTTTCAGGAAAAATCACATCAGAAATATCAGGAATTACTATCTGTATTTAATAATAAACTAACGGATTGAAGCGTAACAAAGTTTTTTACCCGACTACGCGACGCAAAGGAGGGTGATGTGTTTATCAGTCTATGTATGTATGTTTGTTTCTATGTGGCGTTCTAAAGACCAAATGCGTAGGCCGATTTTGATGATTCTTACGTCAATCGATTCGTCTTAACCTTGCAAATGTCACTTAAGACATGACGGTAATCAAAATTCACCACAGCGACAACCAGACGCCATATTGTCAAAATAAAAAAAATCGATGAACCATGTCAAGTGGGGTGTCGTTGAATAGGTATTTTAAAATCATCTTTAGGTTCCTTTTATCATAGTTCATTTTAAATAATAGTTTAGGATATATAACGAAATAAAGTTGATAAACAAAACAATCATCCTCGCTTATTTTCTTACTTATTGATTTAAAGTACAAATTATTTAGAAACAATAAAATAGTGAAAAAGCATGAGGAACAAATATTTTAAGTAAACAAAAAATAACTTTTATTCATCGCCAAGTCGCCGTGTAAAAAAAGTTTACCACCAAGCTCGATAGATGAACTCGATAGATAAGTTAAAAGTATAAAACAAAAATAAATAATTTAAAGAAAAACAAAAACCCGACTGCGTAAAAACGAATTGGGAAGATTTGAGTGAAAACGAATTGGGAAGATTTGAGTGGTAAAATTTGAATGGGCCACGACTATTTGTTTTATTACTGGGAATTTGTTTTTTGTGTATCGATTATAAAACTATTTTAATTGTGTAGTTATTTAGTATTACTTAACAGAATTCTAAACTACTGGGCTTGTTTTTGTAAAATTATTTTTTACGAAATCGGTTTAATCGAAAGGAGTTATAATATCTTACCTATTTGTACTACTAACTTTTAGTACACTTTCTTCTAAGTAGCAGCTCATTAAAAATTGACTGTTATCGCTACAGTTAAAAGATTACTTCTAACGCTAATTCCTGTTTATACAGGGTAAATTTGTTGTTAGTATGCATACTTTAGTATTATGTTTGCAATGGTAAATCGTAACAAGTTTTTTCTTCCACTTATAATAACATGTTAACATTGGTGATAAAAAATAGAAACAGACGTCTATAAAGGACGCTGCAACATATGATATACCTATTGCACCCCGAAGTTGATGGATGGATGAAAATGTTAATAAATATTAAAAATAATAATAATATTTCTTCATTATTAAAAAAATATATAATGAAGTAAAAATTTCCTTTATCGATCCTAAACCAATGTGTGCAATGATGATAATTTCTCCTGTATATAAATCAAGCCCATAGATTGTCATCAAAGTTTACCAGTACATATTACAACTACGAAAGTTTGTGAGCATATATGTATCTTTGTTAATCTATCACGTAGAAACTACTGAACGGATTTGGATGAAATCGATGTTAGGACAATAACATAAGCAGGGATTAATGTATAGGCTACTTTTATCCTTTTAAACGGTTCGTTACAGATTAAAGTACGCAGCGAAAAGCGTAGTTCAACCGGACCATTTAAGACCGATAGCAGACATTAAATATTTAAAATGTTTTCTGATAGATAAAATATTAAAGCCCTTTGAACAGAACAATTAACCTATGTCGTAGAGCATTTAAATTATACGAGTAAAGACTCTACTCACATCGCAGGACAGGCACAGTGGCGTAACTAAGTACTCACAGTTGACACTTTCACTCCATACCATCATGAATAGCGATCTAGTTAGCATAGGCAATGTTTGCTGACTTTAGTACACAAAAATAATTAAAAACATTCTTAAAATTACTACCGAACATCTAAGAAAGGTGTATATAACTTGGTATAGTACCTATAGTAGTCTTGAATAAACTAGATCGGTTCTCAAACTTTCATAGCGATAGATTTTTGGCGAATGAACCGCTTTGTTTAGAAAATGTTTATAAGAAACCCTGATATAGAATAAAGTCTAGTTTTATGTGTACTATTTATTTATAACGACTACATAACATTTTACTTTAACTCCAAACTTTTGCTGCAATTTAATGAATATTTCTGGACTTCAAATATATGCCTATGCAGAACCCTAAGGCATTAAGTTTAAAATTTCAAGATATTAAATTTATATTTTCTCAGTACTGTAAAAAACATAAATTCAAAAATTAATTCTCGATTGACTTTCTTGAATAGAAAATCCAATTACTAAGGTTTCAATAATGTGAAATAAAGATCTGCCACTAATATGCCTATTATCGACTAGTCAATTAAAGAATAAGTAAATTGAAATAAATATATTAGATAGAATTGGATTCGTTGAACAGTTATGCTATAATGATAGAGAAAATTATCGATAAACAAAGAAATACCTTAGTTGAATAAGAAAATAAATAAGAAGATTGATAGATCCAATTATACTTGCTATTAGTAACCAAAATATAGGTAAATCGTTAATTTTATAAGACATCTATAGTTCGACTTTTAATTAGCTACAGTAAAATGTTAGTTATTATTTTTAGAGTTAAACATTTTGTCAAATAAAATATATGCCCCCAATCTATAACATTGAGGCAGAATAATTCAATTACTTTTTTGACTATTTCACTTGTTGAAAAAATGTCGCAATATTGTTGCACAATATGACTCTAGGAAATTTCATTTTACTGCAACTAATTAATTAAAAGTCGAACTTGGATACGATTTCATGACACGAACGATAAAGTCAAATCTTCCTATAAACATTATGAGGAAAAGTACCAACTACCGACAACATTAGCATAGATAATTTACTTTCCATCGCCAATAAATTTTACCCACTAGTTTATCATATGGATATCCCGTTGATTAAACCAAGCGGAAAATATTATACTGTTTCCTTTTATTTAGACAAGACACTCAAACAGCATATATAAAGACAAAATATTTTATAAATTAAACAAAGGCAAACAAAATAAACAGTTGAATATTTATATTATTCGGGAATGAATTCCCTAAAGTCTTTTGAATCGGTCTATCTTGTCTATCAGTGAGACAGAAATATGGCCGGTTTCTGAATTACGAAAAGAACAAAATCTCAACTGATTTATTCTCAATAATTTAAGTTTTTTACGTTTCATAATGCAAAAAGTCCTAGTTTTATCAATTTCGTATTGATAGCAATTTGAAAAAAAAAGCTTTTTGCATTATAAAGACTAAAATCAGAAACGAAAACCTGTTTGATTGACGTTTAAGTACAGTTTGAGGCATGCTTAACTTTAAATCTTAATTCAGTAACCGGGTGATAGTCGAAGTTGTATTGCATAGATTGAGAGCCTTTTGGTAAATTCAATTTGATTAGAAATAACCTTATATTTTTGGAATAAATTGAGTCTGTGGTTGAATAAATTTCATAAATTCATAGTATCGCAGCACATTCACAATAAAAACTATTAAGTGAATAACTTATTTTAAATACAGGTGTATTTTGATTAATATAAAAAAATCTATATTTATGATATAAAGTTCCATCTAACAGAAGTATAAGGGCGAAATGATTTTATGACAAATTAAGTACAAATATATATATATGCTTAATGTTTATCGATTTCATCTGAGTTATGAATCAAAGAAACAATGAGCAAGTTCACACGAATGCCGTCGTGGGAAGAACGTCTTCAAACTACCCATCATGGGAGAAACTGACCCAATGTTTATATTTAATTGTATTATTAGTTAATTTAATTTTGCGTTCAAATCATTAAAAAGTTATTTTACACTTTTCACTTGGTTTCATTTTTAAATTTAAAGTCAAAGTAATAAATCGTGTAATACTCGTATGTTACTAAATATAATGTATAATATCAACCTCATTTGGACAAAGCGATTATAATACAATATCTAATAGGATTGGGTTAAAATGATAAAAAGGTGTTAAGATATATACTTAATATATAATTATGAATAAGTAACCATATTTTTTTAAATGGAAAATGTTTAAAAGATCCACCAGCCCCAGGTACACGGAGGTGTCTTAAGTACCTAATCAATTACAGTCTATGATGTTAATTTTAATTTCAAGTTGTAAGAAGTTAATTGAATCAATTGAAATTTTGTCTGGCGAGAGTCATAATTTGAACTAAGCGCACATTTTAAACAAATGGTAAATTAACAGTAAGGTTTACTCAGGCAAAGTTGCAGCAGATTGTAACTGGAACATTAATAGCCGGCACTTTTCACATAGCAACCGTAATAATATATTTTAAACCCACAGGTGTTGCCATCAAATAAGAATAAATATCTTTTTTAATTTTTATTATATTTTTTATAAAACAAATGAAGTCCTCATTCTTAGATTATATATAAGATGTCTAAAGTAACCAAGCTCGACGTTTTATTTTTACCTACGTATTTTTCTAGCAATTTCATTTTAAGTGATTTTCGGCAACACCATGCTTTAGTCCACCTAAGATGTCTTTTGATTTCAATTCCAAAAATAAGCAATCTTAAGTAGCTACATACGCGTGTACCAGCTTAGTAATTCTCAAGTGAAAAGTCATGATTTAATTTGTTTAATTAGTTTTTTAATTATTTGTCACTACACTAATTAATCGTTATCAATATAATATTCTCCCTTTAAAAACTTCACTAAACAAAATCGAGGTAACATCCTCACAGTCACACAGAATACAGTAACTTACCAAAAAATTTTATTGCCACTATCGCCATGTTGTCAGATATATATATTATGTCAATTAAAATTTACTTTTCAAAACAAATAGTTATATTTGCACTTCCAAAATCACTGCATCGCGCTGTTTGCGCGTGCGCGTTTAAACATTTGCGTGTGCGGATCGCAGCCAGTCACGAGTGTGTGAATTACTGAGGGCAACTGCGGAGCCTGGAGCGCCAGTTGTATGTAACGGACGTCGCCTCGTCAACATTCGCAGTGAAAAGTCCATAGGACTTCGATTTATCGCCCCACTTCCGCTTCGAAAAATGGAAAACAATTGAAATTGTCAACAAATCGCACTGATTTAACCGTACCGTTGCAATGAAAATATTTTTATTCTACCCGCTGTATTCAATGAACGTTAATAAACCAGACTATCTTGTGTTACTTCTGTTGTCAATACATTCATACAAAAAACTTTAACTGCGTATTTAACAATTATTTTGTAGTTCAACGTTTACGAAAACTCGTGTTCACTATAAAACTTAGCCGTGAATTAAGAAGTGATTTCAAGTTCAATGTTGCAAACGTTTTATTTGTTTGTAACACTATTCCTTTCCAAAAAATTATGTATTACGCGTAGATGTAATTCTGTTCTTCAAGCGTTGTTTCTTGAGTTCATTCCTTCTTTAATTAGTACAAAGGAAGATTATAAAATAAATAACAGGTTTCGAAACTCATATAAAAATAAGATTTTTTTTCGTATTTTTCTGTGATTGAAATATTAGGATTTAACAGCATCTTACTTCCCAAAGACTTTATATTTGATTAATTTTGCATTCACTATATTACACTGCTTAAAAAATCTGAGATGGCACTCGAACCTTTCGCAATCTGGGCGACTACTCCAACCACTACCTAGGACCTAACAGGACTGTCGAATTTTTCAAGCACTTGTTACTTTTTCGCGTATCAATGTTCACGCAATCCACCTCTGTAGTAGCAAAAAGCAACAAGTGCTTGAAAAATTCGTGGGTGTGTGTGGGTTCAAATCCCATCTCAGAGTGCCAGGGGCAAAGTATGCCATATCGAAAAATCGCATTACGTATTAATCAGACAGTTGTAGAAACGTCCATTAAAATTTCCATTAGTTTAAAGTGATATTATCCATACAAATTTCACATTAATTAGAGCTTAAAGGCATCATTAAACCTTAATGGACATTTGTGCAACTGACCGTATACCTCGTAGAGTGCTAGAAGAGGTGATGTAGCGTTGCAATGGTTGTGATGAATTGAAATTTAAAATTATCTATACTTATTTAAATTATATAATTAATTACGTTTTCTTTTTACTAGTTAATATTTTTACTATGCTCTACATTATACAGAATATTAAGTATTTCTGAAATAATAAATATCGAATTTATCTTATTTTATGCATTTTAATTTTAATGCATTATTTTATGTATTGTAGTTTTAATATGATTCGTATTTATTTATTTAAACTTTTTGCACACAGTACAAATGGCAGCCTTAATGATTTTAGGCATTCTCTACCAGTCAACCGTATACGGATAATATATGAGGCGGAGCGTAATGATCACCTGCGTTAGACAAATATTTACATCTATGTACATATACATATCTAACCAAGTGATGGATTATGCAGATGTATTATTTTGGGTTTCCAAATGTTTTTCCCCGTTTTTATTTATTCCTCCGCTCGTGTGTGCGGTGTGATTCTTAACGACCTCAACGGCCGAGTGACTCACATCGCACGCCGGCCGGTTTCAAAGTGTCACCGTCACTGATATCCCGTTTTCTATTCCCGGTCAGTCCCCTTATTCTGTAAGTCTTACAAGTTCTGAAGACAACCAAAAATAAATTGTTCGCAGAGCTCTATGGCCAAGCTGGGGCAAGCATCCATCGCGCGGTTTGTTATTCTGTAACTCATTTTTAATAAATCGTATTCCCTGGCCGCTCGCTAATATTTTTTTATTTAGATGAAATTACTCATTGAAGTTCACTTTTATGGTCACTAATGTTTACAGAACACGAAATAGCAGTTCTTCTTCTTCTTTTATTAAAGGCTTATCTCCGCATATCGCACAATTCTGCCAATGTCAAATGAATAAATAAAATTGAAATGAAATGAATGAAAGAAAAAAAATAATAACAAATCTTTATTCATGCCAAAAATAAAAAAAAATAAAAAATTATCTGCTTAATATAGCATTGAAAAAAATCAAAAGTAGATATAGACAAAATCTTCATGAAAAATCTAGGTATACCTAATCATTATTTAAAATACTATTGAGAGCCAACGTAAAGTTATTATAGAATCAATCAATTATTAAACTTCACAATTATGTTTTCACAAAATCCTTGATTTTTTTTTTGTATTTGGTATAGGTTTATCATTATTATTATTTAAATTAAATGAATGAACAATGTAAAATTTTGTTTCATAATTTTAAAATGATAGCGTTTTGGATTTTAGTCTGTTGGCTGACAAGTCTTTGTACCTATAAATAAATAAATAATAAAACAAGTTACAATAACAACAAAACATCGCCTTCATTACATGTAATCTTACGGCCCCTATTTAATTGACCGACGATCTACGTCTTACTAGACGTATATCCACATTACTACGTTTGAGTTGGCGTCGAAGGATAGCCACGCGAAGTAAACACATCTTTGCAAGGCGTTAGCTCATGAGCAGCTTCGTTGTGTGGATATGTAACAGCCAACTGGTTAAATCAACCGTTCATTGGGCGGCTAGCAATTTAATTGAATAGCACCATTTCTAGTTTAATAATAATGACATTTGGACCGTTCAACGAGACGGCTGAATTTCATTTAGTTTTGTTATCTGTAAAGAATAACCTCGACGTGTATCAAAATAACTTCGGTGTTAAAAAATTTTTGTTGTTATTAGATATTGTAGCACCAAACTTCGAAATCGGTACAAACAAACTAAAACAATCACAGTCAAATACATTGATTACTCTCATTTTCGATAGATGGCGCTATGCCCGTCTGAATGGCGGTGTATCTTTATTCGATCGACACTACACATTTATTTTGTTTTATTTCAAACTCTATCAATTAATAACGGTATTCCCGATAAATTAGTTTATTAGTTAGATTCATATTTAATTAGATTAATTAGTTGGCTGTCCTTTGCTCAGCCGTATTGTAAAACATTGCCTTCAGCTACTCGGTCCATCGGTTGATAGAAGACCAGGCCCTGCGATTCTGTAAAACTCCAAACCCGAATTCAGCGGATGCCGCTTTTTGAAGTTAATTCGGACACCTGAGTGGATTCGAATTCGGGTTTGAAGTTTTACAGAATGGCAGGGCAGCCCGTTAATTTAACAGCCCTTTCAAATAAGGGGGTTAGCCGCCCAATTGAAAGCCGATTAATCCACTTAGTTGCAACCGATACACGCCTTTGTGAACTCGCAGAGGAAGGAATAACTTCTTGGAAATTTAAACTCTAAGGTAGCAGTGCCCGGCCCTATAGACAATTAGGCAAACCAATTATTTGCTTTAATTATTTGAATTTTAAAAATGCAGAATCTTAAAATAATATATTTTGTTCTCTGAATACCTAAGACGTTTCTGAATGTAATGAAAATGAAATAATTTTGTGCGCCAAGTTTCATTAAGCGCTGTAATGTAAGCCAGTGGCGTTGCTAGCACGAGTGGCCACAAGTACTAAAACTCAAAATCATTAAAGAAATAATATTTAGTGTCGAGCTCGATGGCGTAATGGTTAGCTCGTTAGGTCTGCGATACGGAATTCAATCAACTTTCGCAAGAGTCAGTCATGGAAGTCTGTGCTTGGGAAAGCCCGCCCATGGTTACTCATACACCATTGTTCCCAAATTATCCCGATAATCGATTCTATTCAGTTCCATCCATAGAGGTGTGGACATTAATAGGCTGATGATGATGATGTAGTGTCTAATTACATCATACATCAATTTTCACACTACATTACAAAACTTTGTACACATAATTTTATTATTACCAACAATGAGAAAAAAAAATTGTATACATAAATATAATTTTTAATTTAGTTTCTATTGCATTATAATGTTATAGGCACATTCAGACCAAATAAAAAATACCTATATTCAAATCTAATAAAAATCATTTATTCAGTGTAGGCTGTTACATAGCACTTGTGAAAGTCGAAAACTATACCAACGGTTCCAAAACTACAGCGGAAGAATTTTTACTGTGAAGCGGTAAGAAACTGCAAGGGCTGCTTATTCCTCCTTGTTTTATTTCCCTACAGAGAAATCTTATTGGAATTGGCATATTTTTTTTTTCAAATAATTATATAATTATAAAAAGGAAAGATTTTATTGCTTGTTGGTTTGCATTAGACAGACTCCGAAACTATTGGACCGCTTTATAAAAAGTCTTTCATCTTCGGGAAGCTACTTAATACGCGCTAGTCGTATTATGCTATAATTTAAGTAGGCAAAGTCGCGTAGAAACAGCTAGATTGATAGAAATTGGTTCACAATTCAAGAAAAAATTTATTGACATACCCCTTCGATCAATAAACTCATGAAATTTGGATAATAAATCACAAAACCTAGTCCCCCCCGCCGCTTCTGCTGTCTGTTCACGGTAAACTACGTACAAAATGACATACTATTTTTTTGACATGTTATTTATTTGTAACTATTACGATTAGAATCAGTCTCTTAATTTTATTATCATCTTTGGTTATTTGCCTTACAATAATTTAAATAAACAATCAAATAGGAACTTTATCATGAGATCAACAGAGCATAATCAAAAGAAGTAGAAAAATCCATTTTGTCCATACTATACGGACAAAACGACATAATATTCATGGACATAATGACAGTAATAAAGTTAGGCACATAGTTCACAAACAAATTTTTTAATCTTGCGCGGAACATCAGCTCATGATGCATGGGCCCAGAGACCACACTTCATGCATTTTAACCAGTCTTCGCCAGGCTTAGAACGTGAAAATAAATCGTTACAATAAATGCATGCGCAATCATCGTCGTCATCAACGAATCGAGTATGAAGCTAGTAATCTTCGGTGACTGATTCCTCATCAAATAAAGTCTTTGTTGCTTGACGCTTCTTCTTTTCATGAGGAATTTTTGGAGCATTTTTTTCTTTAATTTCGTCCACATTAGGAGTAGAAGTTAAGAGTAAATGAGAATTGCGTATCTTTTGCTTTCTCTTTCCTTGACCCTGAATAAATTTTCCTTGTGGTGCTGGAGATAAAACTTCTATAGGAAACGGTATATGATTAATGTCAGAATCAAATGCCGTTTCCTGTTGAAGTTCAAGACCGGATGTTCCTGGGACTGGGCTAAAAGATGAGTGAATTTCTGGGTTACCAGCTGCAGATGAACTGCCAACAGCTAGCAGTTCAGCATCGATTGCATCACCATTTTTCGTATTATCTCGGCTTAATGGAATATTACTTGTTTCAGCCGGTTCATATTGAGATTTCCGTTTATAATTCGCGGCATACCTTTAAATTTCTTTAAAATAAAAATAAAACAAACTTCCTATAATATGATATAAACATACGGACAAAATGACATACTATTTCGTTTTGTCCAGAGCTCGAATATGTCATTTTGTCCGATGGCATAGAAAAAATAAAATAAAAGTTCACTTTGTTGAAACCACTGTTTTTTTTAATATATTTTACCTTAAATCACAGCCTAATGGTAAACTGCATCGATTTAAGTAATAACATTAAAAGAAAATAATGTTAAACTTTCATGAAATGTGTAGAAAATCAGCATAATAAAAAAACTTTAAGACCCACGAAACACGTTTATACCCGTAACTCATTCGTGACTGAGCCGAGAGTGACAGATTTTTTACAGGTTTGCTACAATGGCCGACGTCACATGATGTGATGTCGGTGGTCGTGTTTCCGCCCGCCAATTTTTAAAAACACATGGTGTATCATTTTGTCCATATATGTCATTTTGTATACGTTCCAAGGATAACCCACAATAAAATTTTTTTTGCATTAACGTAAAACAGTAAAAGGTTATTTACGAACCTATTTTTAACAATACAGTATTAATCGCTATTCAAATAAATCAGTTAGATACGTTATACATATAATGCACCTAGATCAAAATTGCCTTTTACACTATATCAAAAAAGTTAATAACTAATAAGTTATCGAAAAATAAAAATCTCCGGGCGAGAAATTAAATATTAATGAATCGCAGCGAAGAAGTCGTTCACATGCGTGCCTACCCGCCCTTTGGCATCCTTGAATCCTATTAATATTATAAATGTGAAAATTTCTTTGTTTGGGTGTTTGACCGTCAATCACGCCGAAACTACTAAACGGATTTTGACGAAATTTGGTATACACATAGGGTATTAGCTGACTTAGATAATAGGACTTTTTATCCCACTAAACATTTCCCTAGAGCCCCACGCGGGTGAAGCCGCTGGCGAAGGCTAATAAATTATATTTTAAAGTAACTCTGTGTTGTTAAGTTATCTATGAAGTTCATCTAATTATCTATATAATTAGGAACTTTGATTATATACCTGGATTAAGAATTACTTAGATGATTTAAATATGTAGATATCCGAATCCGTATCTACCTAGCAACCCGAATACGAAATAATTGGTTGGTAGTAACTAGAGATGTGCTGAATATTCATTTAACATTCGGTATTCGGCATATTCGGCTTTCGACAAACCTCCGCCTGTCTTCAATAACAGTTAATAAGTCGCTATAGAGATAAGTATTAAGGATTAAACTATGAAATTGCCATTTTATTGTACTGTTTGAGGTTTTCGAAAGAAACTTTTTTCACATCATAAAAGATTTGAATATCGACTTTCAACTGTTTTTGTTATCCAACTTAGACAAGAAAGATGGATACTGCGAAAATTCGAGTGATTTTTGAATACGAATTAACGCGGAAGTAACACGGAAAAAACAGCCGGCAATATCAATGTTGCGTTTGGAGAGGGGTCTGCTAATGAACGCACCATGCGATTTTGGTTTAATCACTTTCGTAATAGAAACTTCGACTCGAAGAACGAGCCATGAGGAAGACCGCTCACAAACGTGAATAACGATGAATTAAAAGAGATGGTGATTAGGATGATATGTTCCTAATCACCATCTCTTTTAATTCATCGTTGATTAGGATCGACTTACCTAATCAAACTACCCCGGAATCAGCTGCATGGTTTAACCCACAATATCGAATCGATTGCGTCAAATCAATAAAATAAAAAAATACGAAAAATGGGTGCCTCATGATTTTACTGCTTTGCACAAAGAAACCCATGTTGAAACTTGTGTTGCCTTGTTGAATCGGCACAGAAATGAAGGGATATTGGATCGAATTGTGGCATGTGATAAAAAGTGGATTCTTTATGATAACCGTAAAGAAAAATGCAATGGCTGACCCCATATCAAACGGCATAACAGTGTCCTAAAGCAAAACTTACCAATAAAAAGGTAATGTTTACTGTTTGATGGTCTCAGCATGGTGTCATTCACTAAAGTTTTCTCCGATTTGGTTAAGCAATAACGGCAGATGTCTATTGTGCTGAACTCCGAACAATGTTGGCAAAACTAGCAGTAAAACAGCCCCGATCGTCATGAATTGATCTTCACGACATACAGCATCGAACATACAGCACGAGAAACCATTTTGACCCTTCAGAAAATGCAGTTAAAAACCATTCCGGTTCTTGCCGGTTCTTCTCAGTACAAGGTCTCCCGCCGTAGTTTGGCGAACCGATGGCGTAGTTTTCAACTTTCATAAGTGCTCTGTAAAAGCCTAAACTGAATAAATAAATTTTGATTTTGATTCGTCGTCCTTCGTATTCGCCAAACCTTGTTCCAACTAACTACCATTCATTTGACCTTCCTATTAGATGGCAGCAATATAGGTATATATATATATATATATATATATATATATATATATATATATATATATATATTGATGGTAACTATTTTGATTAAATATAGGTATTTGAAAAAAATAAACAATTTTGATCTTCAGTGCAAATCGGCAATTGCATACTTTAACCCCTATTATTATTTAAAATACACCGTAAGTTAAAGTTAAACCGAATACTGTTTGGTATTTTGTTAGTCGGCGAAACCACTATTCGGTGCACGTCTAGTAGTAACCAATCTGTAATCTATGTGTGTAATTGATAAAATTAAGTACCTAATTTTTTATTATTTAAATAGGGATGGTCATCATTATCAAAGTATCGATACCAATTCGATACATAGTCATGCACCAACAATACAACTAATAATATATTACACGTCAATTAGAACAACTTAATAGTTCCAGGTAGCAGAAAAATCTCTTTTTGTCACATTTATGTCCCAATGTATCGACTTTACACATCGAGATGCGACTGCCTAATACTCTAACCATAGGATACGACATTTGAGTGAATACTTTGACGACATTTCGTTTCATTTTACTATTTTGACATATCTTAGGATTTTGGGATAAATGACTTAGTTAGAAACAGTGCTGTCAATTCATATTCATCATTATTTATCACTAGTGGACGCCCGCGACTTCGTCCGCGTGGAAGTCGGTATCCCGTGGGAGTGAGAAGTTTTCCCAGTAAAAAGTACCCTATGTGTTATTCTGATGTATAACCTATATTGCTGTAAAGTTTTATCCAAATCCGTCCAGTAGTTTTTTCGTGAAAGAGTAACAAACATCCATACATCCATACTTACAAACTTTCGCCTTTATAATATTAATAGGATTCGTTCTTTTGTAATTAAAAAACACACGACTGCACGTCAGACTATACATTTTGAACCTTGTACCTACCGCGCTTTGTAGAGTACTTCCCTACTAACAGAGGTCTGCTACCGGTGGTGGTGTGTAGCATTACGTGCGGCTGTGTGTACGAGTCAATGTAGTAAAATGAAACGAAAAAGCACTTTAACATTGCTAAGATGTCGTATCCTATAGCTAGAGGAATCAGGTTACTTTGTTTTGCTGGCAACTTTGCACAGGGTGACGACTGAATTTATTTGATTGAACGATCCTTTGACTATACTGAATTTGAAATATATTAATAACAATAGGTGATAAAACTTAACATGTGATAGAAATAGTCATTAAATATATTTTATAAATTCAGACATAGTATTTGTGGAGCCAAACAACATACATACGTAGTATTAAAACACTGCGTGTCTGTTCTTTAGGTTTATTCCGATATCGAATAAATATTAGACGCGTAAATCGATAAACGAACAACTTGGTATCGAATCAAAACTGTCGAATACGGGCGTTAATGGAATCATCTCTACAACTAATTAATTAATTAGCAAACTTTGATTTATTATTAATATTTATTGTCTAAATACAACACGTGTTTTGTATGTTTAATTTAATGTCTATCCTACAAATAAATAAAATAGCGAAGAACTAAATAACTATAGGTAGGTAAGTTTAAGCACCATTAATTTTTTTCTCACAGATCAAATAATAAATAAATTGTACCCGCAACATATATTCAGATGTGATACAAATGGACCTATCCTTAATCTATGATGGACTTTGACGTTTGATAAGGAAAGTAGTTTTTTGTTTTTGCACATAATAACTTTGGTTTAAACGATAAAGTTAAACAAATTATTTAACAAAAGTGAGGAAGTTGTATTATTTAAAAAAAATGTTATTTAATAGACTTGTGCAGCTGACATTCAGAAGATCCATTCATATAACTTCCAAACTAAACAGCAGCGGTATGGTAACAGACGGAAATACAATACTGGCTGAAAGCCTGAAGAAACAGGTAAGAAAAAAAAGAAATTACTTTATCAATTTTGTATCCATGACCTATGGATACAGTAAAGATATTGTGTATAAAGTATACTTCAATAAAACTTTAAAAGTTTATACACTATTGGTTTGTTTACTAAAATCTAGGTGAAATTCAATTATTTTAAGAATAATTAATATACAATACAACAACTAATCTGTCCTTAATAGCAGTTTTTTATTTAATAATATTGATGTAGAAAAGAAATATTTTCAAAATATGTATATCATTATTATGCCAGTTAGGTACTTCATTCAGCTGTTTTAAATTTAGTGTATGAATTTTAAGTTTAGAATGTTTATTATGTCAAAAAGGAACAAAAGAAAATAACTAATGTTTTCTCATATAAATGTTTACAAGTTTTACATTATTTAAAGGCATGTGCATTATATTGACGCTGGAAAGCAAACACGTAGTAACCCGCAAAACCAAAATTGTTCTTCAGAGCAGAAAAAGTTTTATTTTTTTTTGATAAATAATTCCTATTAACATCCATGGTAACAAATAAGGTGTTCCTTAGTCAATTTATACAGAAATAAGATAATTTCTTTTGGAAAAATATAAAGATTTTCCACTATAAATATCCATTTTGGTTTTGCAGGTTACTTTCCAGCGTCGAAATTATGTGTGCGATATAGAAAAATCACCTTAAAATATTATTAGCTAATAAAATTATATAATTTTTAGGGTGTGGAATATGTTTTTGGAATTGTTGGTATTCCTGTCATTGAGACAGCACTTGCATTTCAAGTAGCTGGATTAAAATATATTGGAATGAGGAATGAACAAGCAGCCTGCTATGCCGCTCAAGCTATTGGTTACCTAACAGGTAACTAAGACTTTTTTATTTTTGAAACAGGATCTCTTTTACATTAATTTATATGAAATAGTAGATAAGTAATGAGGATTCAAGTAGAATTATTAATATTAAATAGAAATTATTAATATTAAATTGAAAATAAAGTGGTTTATTCATAATGGAAGACTTTAATGATAACATGGTTAGTATGTTCAAACTGCAATGTGGAAGTTTACTTCCTAAAAGCCATTCTTCAGAAGCGGTGACCAAAATATAACACCTTGACACCCACACAGTTATTAACATGACTCAATTTCCTGTAAATAAATATATTTTATAGTGAAACTTAATAACCCAATTAAATTCATTTCATGTTATTGTCTTATGCTATTTAGTTTTAAACAATGTAGAAATATATTATTATATAAATAATATATATAATAATAATTATATATATATAATTATATAAATAATAATATATTATGACTGTATAATTTAAGACCGGAAAATATTAATTTACAGGCAAACCAGGAGTGTGTTTGGCTGTCTCTGGCCCTGGCCTTCTGCACTGTATTGGTGGTATGGCCAATGCACAGGTCAATTGCTGGCCACTTGTAGTCATAGCCGGTTCTTGCCCAGAGGACCATGAGGGTATTGGAGGCTTCCAGGAATGGCCACAAGTATGTTTTAAGAGGAATAACCAATTAACCACATACTATGTTTTTTACAATTTTTTTTCATTTATGTTATGTCAACATGTCACACTACAGATATTTGATTCTGACAATTCAGCCTGTAATGGTGTTTTTATTAAATATACCTGAAATAAATAATGCCTAATTTAAACTTTTGTGAAGCAGAAAAACAAAATATTTCTTACAAATATTGTGACTCTTAATACTGAGTTATTTTAAATGAAATATATAATATAATAATATTATACATAGACAAGCATTTAAGTTTAGATATGAATTCGGTATCATTATCAATAAAGATAGTTTTACACTTAAACAACAAGCAGATAAGATACTAAATGTATTGATCAAAGGTTTAAGCTCAAAAAATAACATGAATGAGATAATGAGTTTGATAGATAAATTATATTATCATTGTTTTAGATAATGGTTTTAATTGTGGTAAAACAATGCCTTTCAAAGTGTCCAATAACCAAAAAATGTATTGTTTGTAAAAAAAAATACAACAAAAAACAAAACAAAATAGTAAAAAAATGTATGCCAGTATTGTCGCAAACTGGAAATTTCAGAAATTGAACATTCTAAATTGGGGAAAAATAACTATGTTGTCGCTTTTATTTATTTAGATTCTATAATCCAAGTTTTCTTTTCTATATAGTCCTTGTCATGTATATATAATAACTATTTCATAAAAATACTATAATAGATATTAGAGCTTAAATCTGAAATTAATATGTATGAGTGCTTAATTTATTGGAATACTGAGACCGATTATCAAATGGTTCCAATTTTGCCTTTTCTACACAGAACCTTATTAACACCTATTTACTACATTATCTAAATTGTACATAGTTCATAGTTTTTGATATATTTGTACATTATTTTATTTTATTATATTTAAATACACTTAATATCACAAAAAAAATCGAAAAATCAACTTAGTAAATTGTCATGGTTTATTCAAATTTAGGCTAGTTCTAATACCAAAAATTTTCTTTTGTGTGATTGTTTGCGAATATTAAACGTATTTAATTAATTTTCTTTCATTAAATGTTATAGGTGGATTCGAGTCGTATGTACTGCAAATACGCAGGGCGGCCGCCATCTCCTAAACTGATCCCGCTTCACGTGGAACGCGCAGTGAGGCTCGCCGCTGCCGGCAGACCCGGCGTCTCGTATCTAGACGTGCCCGGTACACTACTCCTGGTTTGTTAATTTATCTTACATGTTCCCAAGGGAATGTTATGATTATAATATAATACTTTGAGGTAATCACGAACGCAGAGGATAACCAAAATTGACATTAAATAAGCAATATGTTTGTTCTTGTAAAATATCTTATTATAATTTTTATTATAGTTCATTGTTGATAAAGTAAATTAAAAAAGAAACTGCTGGTAATTCGTAATTTTCAGAATTTCCTCTTTGTCGCTATTAAGTCAAAGCAATATATGAAAGACATTATATAATCATTTCTTTTGTTTATATTACACCAGAAATAATTGTACATGAAATCAATTATTTATTTATTGTTACAATGATAATTCACATAGAACATTATTTCCAGAAATAACGCTAATTGTACAATTAATTAAAAGTCGACACCACATGTACATACAAAATTAAAAACGATAAAATATACTTTAAATCGGTATAAACAATGCTCATACATTAAGTATTACACATATTATTAACAATTTCTTAATTTGCAAGAGATATTTAAAATGACATTGGACTGACAAACTTGTAGGGAAGACTGGGCCATTTGGTAACAGATTCTATGTGTTAAGAAAAATAAAATATAATCATTCTTTTAAAGAATAGACAATACCGAAAATTTGTTCGTACTATGAGCAATACACTTCTTTTATGGATTTCCTTAAATTTTAGAATGATAACATTATCTTAACATGAGTGAACAAAAGTACCTAATTGTGCTACTAAAAATAGTTGAAAAACAATTCCCAATTTACCAGAGTTTTGCATATTTCACCAAATTTACTTGTAAACTACTAGTTGTTTTCCCGTCACTTCACTTTTTTAAATTATAATACCCGCGTATTGTGTAGATTCCCATTCTTCAGTTTTACTTTCAATGTTATCCTATAAAATGTAACCATAAGCTTAAAGGGTTGTTTGTGACTAATCAGTGAGTGATGCTAGCGATTGTTTTAACTTTACTCATTTAATTTAAATTTTACCACCAATTAAACGGTCAATACTTACCTTTTTATTACCCAATTTGACCTCTACGAGAATCGAACATAGGACGTCAGAGACAGTTATACCAAGTCTGAGAATAAATAAACATTAGACAACATCACATACATTGCTCGGATTCCCAGATCAGTAGCTAAAGCCCCCATATTATGGAGTATCTGAGACAACAAAGGTACTACAACACCCAGACCCGAGACAATATAGAAAAGACATTTTCTACGTTGATCCGTCCAGGAATTGAAACCGGCGTGCGAACTACTCGGCTATGAAGGTCGTCAATATGTGTAAAAACCGCGATAAATTATAATCGGTTTCTGAAAATTAACACTAATATATCTCTCAAACAGGGAGAGGTAGACGAAGACAAGGTACCGGAATTATATAGTGCTGAGCCTGTGAAGCTAGCCCATCCTGACCCAGCGCTGGTTTCCCAAGCTGCGGACTTGTTGGCAAAAGCAGAGCGTCCTCTGATCATAGTGGGCAAAGGTTCTGCGTACGCGCACGCCGAATCCGCTGTCACTAAACTCGTAGAGAAAACCAAAATACCTTTCCTACCAACACCTATGGGTAATTATTATTATGATTATTGCATTAAATTAATTTTTAACTGCACTCAAACTGGGGTGCGACAAACTATCGAATCATAGAATACGACAGACATCTTAGTGATTTTATGGTGATATTTCGTTTCATTTTACTTTTCTTTAACATATACTTTAATTACGATGAATGAATAAAAACGTCTATTAAAATTTTCATTAATTTAAAGCGACATTACCGATACAAATATCGCCATAACATCGTTAAGTCACACTCCTGTTCAAAAAGGTAAATCTTTGTGTTCAAGGATTTTATATCTACTGAACTTATCTATATATATAAAAATGAATCGCAAAATGTGTTGGTAAGCGCATAACTCAACAACGCCTCGACCAATTTGGCCAAATCTTTTTTTAAAATGTTCGTTGAAGTTCAAGGATGGTTTTTACGGCGAGAAAAATTAGAATTATTGCTGGAAAAACCCTAAAAATAGCCCTTTTCTTTTTCCCATACAAATGATTTGTAACTAAAACGTAGTCAATTTGAGCTTTATTGCTATGGTATAAAGTTCATATTAAATTACAAGCACTCACTGTTGTCTAAGCAATGTAGGTGTGTTCCTAACGTCAAAGATCATATCTATCAAAACAATGTGCGTGTGTGCGTTGGAGCACAGAAATACGTAGACAAAAAAACTGCCACATTACAAATCTTTTTGACAGGACGAAGTCTGTCGGGTCAGCTAGTGCTAAATAAATATAAATTAGAGATATAATTATACGTTTACAAAACTTTTGTGACACACCATCTGTCACACAAACGTCCATTAAATATACTCATTAGTTCAAAGCGACATTACCCACACAAATCTGACATTCATTAGAGCTTAAAGGCGTCATTAAACCTTAAAGGCCATTTGTGCAAGGGCTGTTAGGCCCTTACTAATGATATATTAACTTTTTCTATTACTTTAGTGTTCAAAATATAGATAAGAGTAATCTCCTATTTTTAAATGTGTTAGTATATTCATAGGCAAAGGTGTAGTACCGGATGAGTCCCAGTACTGCGTATCGACGGCTCGTACTCAGGCCTTGTTGAAAGCGGACGTGATACTTTTACTGGGAGCTAGACTCAATTGGATGCTACATTTCGGACAAGCGCCACGGTATGCACCTGACGTTAAAGTGATACAGGTATGTACAGTCGACATCAAATCATGTCACTACAAAAGACTGAATTTTCACTTCAAAATTCTGAAGCCCTAATCTGTTCTAGATATGTCTTTTTTAGGGTTCTATAGTTAACAAGGAACCCTTAAAGTTTCGCCATTTCCGTCTTTCCGTCCGTCCGTGGCTTAACTGAAAAAATATTGGTGCAAGAAAGTTGTAATTTAGCATGAGTATACACGTTAATTACGCCGACAAATTGGTAAAGTAAAACTTAAAAAAAAATAAGCTTACCTATTCTACATGTAAAGTGGGGATAATACTTTTTTTTTCGTCTTCCCCATAGTGTGGAGCATTATTGGCTTGATCTTTCAAAAACATTGGAAAGACAATTATTAGATTTAGTAAACCGATTGTAACTTAAGCTTGAAAGAGCTATTTTCATTGGAGTTACCCCCCCTCTACCAACTTAACGGTTGTTAGTAAAAATTCAAATGTTACGGCAGTAACCTACTTATAACGAAGTTAAAAAGAAAACTATCGTACCTAAGTTAGCTTACAAGTTTACGAGTAATAAGTCGAGCACTTTTATTTAAAGCGAATATTTCTAACAACTCCATAGAAAACAAAAAGCGCGATTTTTTAATGGATAATGGTTTGGAACCCTTCGTGCGAGAATCCGACTCGAACCTGGCCTGTTTTATCTGAGCAACAATTAATGCATTGTCCTAATTATTTAGGTAGACATCAGCCCCGAAGAGTTCCATAACAGCATCAAATCTGAAGTTGCAGTCCACTCGGACATCAAGCCATTTGTTGAGGCCCTCACACATAAATTAGATGAGAAGAAATTCTCCTTAGAAGTCGCAGGAAATAAGTGGTGGCAAGCGTTGCAGCTCAAACAAAAAGCAAACATCGAGTTTGTGGAGGTATGTACACCTTATTTAACTAATGTTATGACATCTGACAAAAATATGTTTGTTTCCACAATCTGCCGGAGATACAAATAAATAAAAAAACGTACACCTATTTGGAATCATCATCAGCCCATATTCGTCCACTGCTGGACATAGGCCTCCCCAATTGCACGCCATCTACTTCGATTTTCGGCTGTTCGCATCCAGCTCCTGCCAGCCATCTTGCGCAAATCATCGCTCCACCGCGCCTGAGGACGTCCTACACTACGTTTGCCGAGACGCGGTCTCCACTCAAGAACCCCCGCTTACCATAGAAAAAAAAATCATAAGATAACAAAATAATTGTAAAGATACAATTTTTTTTATCTCGTTTATTTTATTATATCACATTTGAACTTATTCAAGCCTTAAATTACGTCATGCACAAATTTACTGAAACCCTTTCGGTTAATCAAAGTAAAGGGCCAGGGGCCTTATTCAGGGTTGATCCAGCCCTGTGTTCAAATAGCTTATAGTGAAATGCGTTAATGTACACGTTTATTTCGCACGTACATATTTTATTTTGAGGTCTAACAATAAAATATTTAATTTTAATAAAAATTAATATTGTTTTAAAGGCTCAAGCAAACGACAAGACTGTTCCCTTAAATTACTATGCGGTTTTCAAGACTGTTCAAGCTAATATTCCTCGGGACTCTGTGATCGTGAGCGAAGGTGCCAACACTATGGATATAGGACGCGGGCTTCTGCTCAACAATCTCCCGCGACATCGGCTCGACGCCGGGACTTTCGGCACTATGGGGGTAAGTCATTCCAGTACTTAAGTTTGACGCAGTAAATGTTGAATTTCCAGTAAAAGTCCAAATTGATGACCCTTCTTTTTAATCAACTTCAAAAAAAGAAGTTCTCTATCTGATCTGTACGTTTTTAACCGACCTTAAAATATATGAGGTTATCACTTTGACTTTGTATGTAATTTTATGGGATATGGTGCAATAATAATATGCGTATATACGCTTCTAAACACGTATGCTACATATTTTAGGTGTATATTATGCATGTTTATCTACATATTTAATAATGTATTTCTTGAAAATTAGACATTGGATTGAAATGATACTTTTTTTGTTTGATATCTATTTTTCAACTTAAAGAAGGACATAAGAGCATAAACAAGCAATAAAAAGTGATCAATCTGATGTAAGATGGAACTTCACAAATATGAGCAAACAGCTTGCACAATCAGACCAATAAAATTAAAATCAAAATAGACCAATAAAATTAAAATCAAAATAGTAAAATAATAAGTTAATAAAACATTAAAATGCATTTTATATTTTACATTAATTAAAAATAATAATAGTTATAATAATTATAATTATACCCGTACATTGTATAAAAAATGTAGGAAACATTATGATACTCATATTTATCATTTCACATTTCACTCACAATAAATAAAAAAATCAATTAAAAAAAATAATGATAACTAAGATAATAATAAAGAAAAGACGAATTAAAAAACTGTTTCAATTAGAAATTAGAGAATAAAGTAACATAATACACCAATTTATTTAAAGGTTTATTCAGTTGACCCATTATTATGAATAATTTTGAAAGAAGCATTTTAAGACATCTTATCTTAAGCACAAAATGTCCAAAGTATCGTTTGTTAATTTTTTTTTTATATTGTGGTGGCCAGATAACCCGCCACTGAGAAGGCGCTTTCGGAAACACGAGTACTGTAAAAATGCAAAACTTCGCCTCACCACCCCCACCAGCCCTTTTACGTCCCCACTGCAGGGGCTCAGGCCTTCCTTATGGATGGTTAAGGAGGATGGGCCATGACCCTCCACGCTGGCCCAATGCGGATTGGAGGGTATTAACGACTGCAAATGCAGCCGGGACCAACGGCTTAACGTGCCTTCCGAAGCACGGAGTAGCTCGAGATAATAATTTTTAGGTCACCCATCCCGTGACCGACCCTTGCGAAAGTTGCTTAACGACTACGATAGCAGGCCGCGGCGCTTATCCACTACGCTACCGAGCTACTCGAGAAAACTTCGCCCTTCCTCACTTAAAATAAATCGTTTTATGCTCGAGTGCAATCTCGAGTTTAGCGAGATCTCGCCCATTTTTCAACTGAGATCAATCTCGCTAAAAAGGCCGAGATCTCGCAAGCATGAGATTGCATTCCTCAATGATAAATTTTATTATTAAAAAAAAGAAAGCAAAGAAAAATAACCACAAAATTTTTATCTTAAATAAAATCAAAACGCAAAAATAGGATACACCAGCAAATTTTTTGAGGTTTGTGGCAGATACTTATGAAAAAAAAACATGTAAGGTAAGAGGAAAATAATCACTTAAAAGACACATTTTCTGAGTTTTATTTCTTGCTAATAACAGGGTTTGGTACTGACCTCAAAAAATTATTAGTGTTGCCACCGTTTGTGTTTCCATTTTAATTAAGATAAAAATTTGAGATGATATTTCTCTTTTTTCAATGGTTTCTTTTGATTGCGAATTAATGAAGGTTGAATTCTTTTTAATTTTTTTTTTATTATTTTAAATACTTACAAGAGTACAGTTCTCTTAAATATTAGCATAATCAATTATGAAACAAATATCCACTCTCGTTTTAAAATATTAGTAACAATGAACTGATCCGAGTAGGGGGCATTCAAGTATTATCCATTCTCGAAAATGTATGTCCTATCCCTCCTAAAAAAAGTGCGTCACGATTACTTGATTGCCTCCTAAGGTGATTCAAATAACTTCTGCTATTAATTATAGAAATGTTGATGTCACTCCAGGTGGGACCAGGGTTCGCTGTCGCAGCTGCAATGTGGTGTCGCGACCACGCACCCGGCAAACGAGTCGTTTGCGTAGAAGGAGATTCTGCTTTCGGATTTTCAGGTACATTTCTATATTCTTACTTCATGCAAACGATTAGTACATTGATAAATAATAGCAATATATAGGTTGAAATGACATAAACGATGTTTCTTATTCTGTCAATACAGTATTATAATGGAAATCTTAGGACCTATTTCACCGCTTCCTGATGAAGTTTCAGATAGTTATCTAACATATAACGCTCTCTGACAATTTAAAGTCACTGTATTTTCCGTCAGGTAGCTCTTCTATCTGAGACTTATGAAGGTCTTATACTTTTACTTTTTATTCGTCGCCCTTCATTCATTTCATTTTAATTTTACATGTAAAAATTTATTTATTAACTTGACATTGGCAGAATTGTGCAAAATGCACAGATAACCCGTTAATTAAAAAAGAAGAAGAAGAGACTTATGAAATCAAAATATGCAATTTACCTTGCAGATAAGTTTCTTGTAAGCTATCAGTAAGCAGAAAAACTGGCCCTTAACATACATTTACTAGCATGTAAAAGTATAAAACGGGCATGAACTACAGGAGGGATATCAGCCGGTTCCAGAATTAGATAAAGTACAAAATCTCAACTGACTATTTCTCAATAACTTGGGTTTTTTATGTTTCACATGGCAAAAAATCCTAGTTTTATCAAATGATCATTAATAAAATTTAAATCGGAAACGAAAACCTATTGAAGTGATGTTAAGACGATTTAAGTGTTGTTTCAGAGATACTTAATTTTAAATTCTCAATTCAGAAACTGGGTCTTATGTATATCTTAGCAAGCAGAAAAACAGACGACCTAAAGTATTATATGAGCATTGAAAGTAAACGTAATGCTACACATAGAAGTCTATTTCCAAAAAGTTTTGCCTAATGTTGTACGGCGTTGGGTCAGTGACCTTCAGCATACCGTAGATCAAACGGTAGTGCCCTGCGGAAACGATACAGAGTTCTATAGACAGCGATAAGAATCGTTGTTTCTATGCTCACATATCATTATATATAAATAGTATTTGTATCATTGTCCGTTTTTTACAAGTCCTGTGATTCCTAGACCAGCAAACCAAAACACTACTACTAAGCTATTTATATTAGGGAAATGACTACCGTAACGAGTACCGACTTCTGCATCCTAGATGTTTCTTTTATAAGAATACGGCTGATGGCGCATAAAGGCTGAAAATATAATCAAAAGCCTCTAATGCAGATGTAAAGCTTATATCCGTTAATATGCCAATGTTGGGAATAAAATCAACGACAAAAACTTGATCTTTTCTGAATACTAAATTAGCATATACACATATTTAAATTGAGAGTCAAATTTTAGCATGAAAAATCTTTTATTAGGCAACACACACCATGACACTTTTTGAATGTGTTGCAGTTTGTAGTTCCTGTTATTATTTTCCTTATGTATTTTTTTTCTGTCATATTTGTAAATTGTGTATGTGATATTAAGTAACAAATAAAAACCTATTCTTTTATTTAAGAGAGGTTTAAACGATTTTATTTTGTGCAGGTATGGAAATAGAAACTATGTTCCGATACAAGTTACCCGTCATAATTATTATCGTTAACAACAACGGCATTTACAGTGGATTTGACAAGGAAACAATGGATGACTTGCAGTCGAGTGGCGATCCTACTCAATGGTAATAACAAAATTTATATTTTATATAAAGAAAATTTATAAAAAAGAAAATAATATAGTGACTACAGAAATAAAATATGACGGTAAGAAGTTCGCAGAGTCAGCTAGTGGATAATAAAAATCACATAATGAACATGCATTACATCACATCAGTGGAAACCCTACTGTTGCAGTCTATGGAAATTCCACTGTATTCTTTTTATACGAGTCCTCGGCGGCCACTTAAAACAGTTTCAGTAAAGTTTGCTATTCATTTATCATTATTGAATAATGGATTTTTATTTACAGCACTCCACCAACATCGCTAAGTAGTGAAGTTCGCTACGAGAAAATGATGGAAATGTTCGGTGAAAGCGGCCACTTTTGCCGCACCGTTGAAGAGATAGAGTTGGCCATAAAGAAGGCAGTAGCCACTACAGACAGACCAAGCATCATTAATGTCGCCATCAGTCCTCAGGCTAACAGGAAGCCACAGACATTCAACTGGCTCACTGAATCCAAACTATAAACTAAATCTAAATAAAAAAATAATTAAATGGTGCTACAAGGTTCTAACATAGACTGGGTTAAATGATGTTATATATATTGTAAGCATTGCAAAATAAGTTAATTAACGTGGGAATTAAACCAATTCATTTAAACAAGTCCAGTAAATTTCTAAAACCAGTCCATATGATGGATGTGCGTTTTAATAGAGAAATGTTTTACAAGAAGTAAAAGCATATTGAGAGTTGTGAAAAATACACATAAAAATATAATCTAGTCAATAGTATTGAACAAAAAATATACTGAAATGTATATTTACTTTTTATGTAATTTCGGTGCTATTAAATATTTACCTTTATTGAAAAATATCCTTCATTGCTTTTGTAAACTTACTAACAAAAATACTATGTATAAATATTGGTCAAACCTTTCTTTTATTTTTCATTAACATTAAGAAGTAACATTTCAAGAGGTCCATAATTAAATTATTTTAAAGAAAAATGCCAAATGAATTGATATTGTCTGTATTTTAGTCAGTTATCACATCACAATGTGTATAATTAATTATGAACTTAAAATATTTAATACATTTATATTATAAACTAAATCCCTGTATTTTGTTTTAATCTGCTGAATGCAAATGAATCTGCTGATTGAGAAATTGTTGTCCAAAGCAACTTAACATGAGCAGTAGGATATTTGTTCACATTTTGCTTAGGCAGCCGATCAAGAAATTTTCTATCACAGTTTGTGCTGAAACAAATTAATTAGTTAATGAGATTGATCTATAACTATAGTATATTACTTTATATCATGAAAGAATTTTTTTTTCTCTATTTGTAGTCTATCTCACATGCTACAAAAGATGAATCAGAGTGTGTTACGTCATTTGTGGGTAAATTATATAAACATACAGTAATAAAATTGTCTATAAAAAGTGGGGGAAGCAATAATAGTTTTAAATAATTTTAATGATTCATTGAATGTTAAACATGTAATAAGAGCTGTTGTGTATTTAAATATAAAAACAGCATCAGATAATTCAATTTTATCACCGATAATACCTTTTGATTAAATGAAATCACAACCTCAGAGTTGATAAAAAAACCATATAATCAACTCTGAGTGATTATGTGGTTTTTTTTAAACACTTAAACTAAACATAATCCAATCCACTTTAAATATACCAATGAATATTGATAGATATTTATAAAATTTTTAATAATTAGGTTGTAAAGATTCTTAATTGTTTTGATTGCATTATCAGGCAATAAACCAACTTTAACACACACAGCAATAACAAAAACTATCCATTTCAAAGTATGTGTTTTTAAAAAAAATTAAGATTAATAAATCTTACCCAGTTTACAATTGTTTGTAGTGGTCAAAGTGTAAGCATCTTGGTCATAATCATTGGTGAGGGTAAGATCAGCACCGCGTATGAGAAGCTCATTGCAAGTGTAGGGGAAATCTGCAGCAGCAGCATACATCAAAGCTGTACTACCAGACTGAAACCAAATATTGAACTCTTGAAAATTATACATATATATAAAAAAATGAGCATTTGAATGACAGGACATGCCCATGTTATATAATCTCTGGTGATACCAATATAGAAAACATAATTTTAATTAATACCAATGAAAAAAAATATTCATGATCTTTCAGTTAACAACTGAAACTATTATAGTGTGTCATGTTTAATTCTTATTATCAAAGTTTAATAATAAAGACAATAACAAAGTATAACAAGTATTTTAGAATGACAATAAATAGAATTTTGTTTGATACCAGCTGTGTCCTGTGCTGCGACTTTGTGTCCACATGGAAAGTAGCCTAAGTTACCCCTTATTGTATGCAATCATCCAAAGAGAATAATCCACAGATAGCTTATAAGCTATCTGTCAGTGAAAGTTCCATCAAAATTGATCTGAACAACAGATTAGCCTGAACAAACAGACTAAGAATTTTTATTTAATATTTTTGTATTGAACCACAGGGTTCACACAGATAAATAAATATGTATTTACTGAAGTGGTTGTTTTAATATTACAAACAGACACTACAACTTATTTGTGTATAGATTTATAAACTTACATCATCTTGAATATCAGCATCTGCTCCTTCATTTAAAAGAAACTTGACAACTTCATGATGACCTCCTGCTGCAGCCAGATGTAATGCTGTCTCTCCTTCAGGACCTCGCATATTCACATTTGCACCACTCCTAAGACAATAAAATAGAGGGGCTTTAGCTAGTCATCTTGACATCTGAACCATTCAAGTGATATTGTCTAATATATATTAAAGAAAAAAATTATATCATAAGTTGTAAGGCTATTTGATCCAAGCATTTTATAAAACAAAACTAGTTTTTTTTAGAGATTAGGGCATCAGACTGACACATGCTCATTCCAAATATGAATGAACCTTACAACTGTTGATACATAATTCACTGCCTCAGTACTGTACGAAAGCCTGATAAAAACTATTTCATAATGCTTGTTATTTAGGCAAAAACAGTTTCCTTTAATAAAGCCAATGTAAAATTTTCGAGAATTTTTGACTACACAATCAGAAAAGGCTCTGTTACACGAATCAAACAAAGACCTTTGTTATACAACTCACCAAACAAGATCTTGGCAGCTATTTAGTTGTCCATAGCTAGCTGCCCAATGTAGAGCCGTAAGGCCATGTTCATCAGTGATGTCGACATACTGCTCCAGTTTCAAATCGTCACGGGTTATTTCTCCACGTCCAGCCTTCGCGTGTAGGCTGCAATCTGGCTGGGGCAGTTCAGGGACGCGCGCCTGCGTATTACCTATAACAGCGACCTTGAAATTTTACTTCTGCAATCTGCCAGAACTTCTGTGACAATCAATATAACTCCTTCACTGATCACTATACCCTATTATCCTCACCTCGCTGTAAATTAGTCAAAGCAGTACATTGAACAGATTTATATGGTGTGAATGCACTTTTTCGGATGCCATTTAAATTAGGGGCCCATCTTTGATAACTCCCACTATCACTTTTGTTACTATCTTGACTCCCAGAATCAAAATCATATTTGTAGCTATCCAAATTTTCTTGTTTTATATCAATATTTTTTTCTTCGTTTTTGACGCAAACAGATTCTTCCATGTTTACCACAAACTGTTTACTTATCCCGCAGAGCACCAGTCCTTAGAACATAGACAGAGCATAACTACAGAAATGAAACCACTCTAAAATAGCAACGAAGAGATGTATTTGTCTTTGTTTTTCTTACAACCGTGCTAATACGTTCAAAAAACATGTATCATGTAAATTATGTCATGTCTCATGCTTTATTTAATTCCACATTTAATTCTAAGGCAAAAATGTTCTAAGGTCATTTCTTTTTGCAAACCCATGGATTTATTATTTTGATGTTCATTGTCGATGACACAGCCTAGTGATTAGTAAGTAAGTTGAAAGAGTAAAACAGCCGTTCATTTGGGCGGCTAGCCATTTAATTTGGTTTTCTAGTTGAATCATTTTGACATTTGGACCGTTCAAAAAGTTCCAAAACATTCATTTACTTTTATTATCAGTTAGAAAAAATAACCTCGAAATTTAAAACATCTTATATTTTTAACCTATCTCATGACCTACAGTACCAAAATAAGCTCGTTGTTTATCATTTTAGGTACCTATTAACTATTATAGCACCAAATTTCGAAATCGTTATAAACATACTAAAATAATCGCAGTCAAATATAGTGATTGCTCTGCTTACGATTACGTTACGGCTATCTGAATCGCTGTATATCTTGTCTTTGTATAATTGTATTAATATAAAAAAATTGTTATGAAAGTTTTAGCTAAACCAACGTTAGTGTTCGTTAGCTTCCTGTAGTGTTGATCATACGAACAGTTAACAATAACACTTAATCGCAAATAAGCAGTTCGTTATAATCTTTTGATCGATTATGTATCTTACAGATAATAACAAGGAGTTTTTGAATTTTATATAAAATCACAATTTAGATACTGTTTCACTTCTAATCCTACTAATAAATATCGGTGTTCCCGGTGAGTTGACCATTAATTAGTTGGCTGACCTTTGTTCAACCGTATTGTATAACGTTCAGCTACTCAGTTGATCAAAAGTCAGCCTGTTAATTGAAGGGCGCCATTCAATTAAAGGGCTAGCCGCACAATTGGTCGGCTAATTATACCACTTGACTGCAACATCGACATTTTATCGATAAAAACGTGTTGATATAGATAAGATACGGTGATATGATTTCAAAAATGTGAATCTTTTTTTTTTAATTTTATGTTTATTTTCAATAACACAAATATGAAATTATCAATGCGAAAAACATATCCTTCTAACGATTGGGTAATTTGCTTTTTTTATGGGATAGGGGGCAGACGAGCAGACGGATCACCTGATGGTAAGTGATTACCGTCGCCCATGGACACCTGCAACACCAGAGGGGCTAGAAGCGCGCTGCCGGCCTTGGAGGGAAGGGTTGAGGGGTAGAGGGAAGGGAATAGGAAGGGGTTGGGCCTCCGGTACCCTCACTCACACGACGAAACACAACGCAAGCGTTGCTTCACGTCGGTTTTCTGTGAGGCCGTGGTATCACTCCGGTCGAGCCGGCCCATTTATGCCGAAGCGTGGTTCTCCCACGGTTAAAATTGGTGCAAAGATTCTAATCAATTACTGCTCCATTTTGATTATCGTTTAGTCCATGTCAAATTTAGTCCTCTTAAACGTTGTAACTATTATTTCAAAGCTTCATTTTTCGGAAATCTATAAACTTTGTAATCATTATCAATAGGATAGTATTTTAATCCGTAAAATAATTGAAACCCTTTTCCCCGATTTCGCCCTCGTAAATTATAGCCTATGTAACCCTTTCCATATGTGAAAAAATCCATAATCGTATCAGTATCTCCGAAGAGTTATAATATTACTAAGTATAGATAAAAACCGTTAACATATAGGTTAATACCACTGATAACCAAAAGATGCCGCATGAAAGACACTAAGCTGTAGTCTAGCGTATTTGATTATTATATGATTATTTCGATGCGCACGTTGTGTTGAAAGCTAATTCATTACTTAAATTGAAAGTTAAACTCTATTATATTGATACAAGACAGACCTAAGCCTGTGATCAAGTACGAAGGAAAATTCATTGATAGAAATAAAGAACAAAAAAAAAATATGTTAACAATACATATTTTGTTTACTTACAGCAATTTCGTTTTACTTGGATTTGTAGCTTTGAAAAACTATTTATTGTTTTAATTTATTTATTTTAGTCAAAGGAAGTTAGTTTCAGGAATAACTACAACACAACGTTTCACGCTTATTATAAAGATTTCCAAACGTCAGTTGAAAAAAGCGTTTAAACAATAAGCCGTTTTTAAAACGCTTATTAAAAATCGTACAACGTAACAACGCTTAAAACTTTTAAGCCATTATTTCCACTTCTAATAATAACAAATGTTTGTCACATACTAGACCTACAGTATGTATAGTAACTAATTTAAGATAGTTCAGAACATATGTATTTTAAGTTTTCATTAATAATTTAGATACTATTTTAATACTTGTTCGTTATTTAAAAATCCAAAATTTTACATTTTTCGTTAAATTAACCTTCCCTCCCCTTTTTGAAGATTTAACTTAATATTTTTATATGAGAGCAGTGGCGCAACACTTTCATTTTTATGTATATCTCAGTGTAGCAGGTAAACCAATTCTACAAGAAATGCAAAAATGGTTATTTTTTGGGAATTGATTTTTTTTCTATTGGGCTTATATATAAATTTACGTTTTTGTTGTGATTGAATATCTAAAATGTGATTTTGTTCTCCCATTTCTAATTACAAGTTATTTAAACAATTTCTTTGTACAAAATCGATCTTTGAAAGTTATTCAAAGATGGATTTTGAAACCAATTTAAAAATTATATATTTTAATGATTTTAATATCGATTAATTATCGACATGCCTTTAACACATTATGATACTATCACTACGGAATATGTGTCCTTGTACTAGCCAATAGCGTCACCGCAGTTACATTGCCTACTGCCTACCCTACCACTAAGATTAGCATTTTTATTTTTTAACAAAATAGTCATGCGGTATCTATTGGAGATTATCTATGGTTAATACGAATAAATTATCGATATCGCTGTTTCTTCGATATCGATATATATCGGTTCTCTGATAAACCGTTGCATCCTTACTAACAAGTCTGACGTAAATGCACGGCCCGTCAACTCCATACAAGAAACCAATCGCGTAGGGGTCCAGTGATGTATGACATTTCCACACGCCCCTCACCCCTGTCAGTAGATGGAGACATGACACCTGACAGAAACTGTCATTACAACAAAGAGTAAAGATACTAATGTTTTAATTAATCTTTAATTCATTTCATTTTTATTTTACATGTTGGAATTAATTTATTCACTTCATATTGGCAAAATTGTGTGAATGCGCAGATATGCCATTAATAAAAGAAGAAGGAGACTAAAGTATGTACCTACATATCAGGGAATTACAAGTGATTGAGTAAAATTTCGTTTGTGCTTACCCTCTTCGCTTTATTTGTAATATAAACTCCTTTTTTCGAAGTATTTTTCTTTGTAGAAGATGCCTAGGATATTGGTGTGTTGTGTTATGGTTGTGTTACACGCATTATTAAAGTACGAACAGGATGCTATTCTTTGTAAAATTCTAGTGAACGAGAAAAGATTCTCCAAGTGGTTACAATGTCTTAGTGCTGTGTGTGATACTGAAAATTTGAATCCAGGTAGAAGTGTCATTTGTAGCAAACACGTTGTACCAAGATTCATTACTCCAAAATCACGACTCTTGGGTGACGCACATCCATCATTGTTTAATGATGATGGGCTCTCAATCAGCCTACCCTCTTCAAGCAATACTGGTAAGGCTGGTTTAATCTGCTATTACCTTTAGATAATGTAATTAAAATGATATGTATCTTCACTTTATGTTGTGTTTTGGAATACCGCTATTCTTCATTAGATTTTTTTGTTATTACAGAAATTATATTCAATTCGGAACACAGCTATGCAAGAAAAAGTCATGTTGACCACACATATTAGAAAGTGGAACTGAACAGAGGTTTGTTTTTAATTTATTTTATTTAGATAACAAAGTTCATGCTGCAGTTTTGGTGTATTTTAACATAGATTTCTGCTTTAAAAAAGTCTAGTAGATCTGTCTTTCTTACACAAATAAAGAAAAATTACATTAAGTTATTTAACTCTAGCGGGCATGCTAGAAGTGATTTTGATCAGAGAAAAAATTTATAATATAAATAACATATTTCTAATATCATCTAAGATTAGGCATATCCTGTTTTTTAATCTTACAAACATAATCAATATTGATTTCATAGGTGGTGTAATTTTCAAAGAACAAATTGAGACTCCTGTGTCTGCAGCCACTGAGTTTACTCAATTAGTTGCTTGTTCTGGAGATTAAAATATGACACAAACTAAATTATCTGGTAAGACCTGTCTCTTTCTTTAGTGTATCTTTATTTCAATCAAATAGTAGTTCTAATAGAGAAATTCACTGAATACTTTTGATGTTATAGACCCTGTGCAATGTACCCAAACAAAAAGGAAAAGGCTTATTACCAAATAAAGCCAATTGTCACCTTTATACCAGAGAATTTATGAAGAATATAACAAGCCAAAGATGTAGCTGAACTTTCATAAAAAAGTTAAGAATACTTAAATACCTTTAAGTTTTGTAAAAAGTTATCATTTGAAAAGTTCACACAAAAAATGAACACAGTTGCAAAAAATATTTTTGAAATGCAAGTGAGCATGTGCTCTAAAAATAAACATGAGAGGTGATTCACTACCGAAGAAAAGATAATTGCTTTATCAATATCAAAGCAGAGTCCAAAATTTTATAGATTTTTAAGCAAAATTTTTTATTTTATCATCCAAACCACACTGAATACTATGATTGGAAAATTGATCATAGAACCAGGCTTCATGTAAGTGGTAAATATATTCCATATAAGGTTTTTCATACTACTTTTATGACTTTTTGTATTACTACTAAATAATAATATGTACCTAACTATTTGAATTTACTTTTTCAGGTGGACAAATGAAACTCCAAAAAAATATGCTCCATTATATTTGATGAGATGTCATTAGAAACAGCACTCTTGTATAATAAAAGTAATAAGGATTAAAGATAACATTAATGGATTTGTAGAATACCAAGAAAAGAAAGTGAATTTTGCAGATCATACTCTTGTTTCTATGTTGGTGCTGTTTACAAGTGGCAACAGCCTTTATGTTTCTATTTCTGTCAAGGAGCTACATCTACTGTAAACATCAAGAATATTTTAAAGTCAGTAGTAGAAAAAGTTATTGAATTGGACCTTAATCCCATCGCAATAATATATGACCAAGGCTCAGTTTTCCAATCAGCACTCAAAAATCTAAAAGAAGACACTAAGTGTGATCAAAGTTTAAAATGAAATCACAGGTTGGTACAGAGAATTATATTTCTATGAAAGAAAACTAATAGATTTAATGAAAGCAGTGAAGGTTCTTATTATTATATTGTTATCTATGTTTTAAGAAGTTCTTAAATTTTTGTTTCAGTTGGCATTCTTAAAATATGTGGGGTGGATTTGAACATTATGATTCTACACACTTGATAAAATGAATCAGGAATAATTTTGGTGGTAAACTTGCAAAATGGCATGATATCTATGAGACAGACTGTCAACACACTGAAACTGGGCTATTTTATAAATTAAATGACCAATGAGTTATACCTGATAAAATTAAAAAGATGAAGGTAATGCATTGGTTATTATATTAGTATAACTTAAATTAGTATAAATAAAATAAATAATTTGTATTCAGCTTCTATATTCTCTATCGGAGCAAGTGTTGATTCAATGACCTGTATTTTTAATTATGTAACAAGTAGTTATAGTTTACACTTAAACTACAATAATGATTCTCTAATGAAGATAATTTTAAATATGATATCTCTTTTTGCAGGTAAAAAATTGTGTAAAAATATGTCTGCAGCTTTGTCTTACACTGCAAATTTCTGTGAGTATTAGATGAAATTTACTAACAGTTAATTGTTTTGAATCAAGTTTCATACAATTATTATATGAATATTTTAATTTGCAGCAACTTATGAGGATGTGCACAACATTAAGAAATGCAGCTGATGTTGTTTCATTCTTTGACCAATTATTTGATAGTGTCAATGGAGCATCGACAAACAAAAAAAGCATAAAGGAAAAGAGCTGTGACAGATAAGACACACCATCATTCTTTCTGGCCAAAGGCAATTGAAATTTTAGAAAAACTTAAATATGTGTATAAAAAGGTATGCAAGAATCAGTGCCCTCTTTCAAAAAAATTGTGATTACGTTTCATAAGGTTGTGCCACTAAAAAAACGTAGCTAGGAATTGCTGAGAATGCAGAATAAACCTGTGAAAAATATAATAAGTTAAAAAATAAATTGTTCAATAAATAATATTGGAAAGATGTGTGTTTCATTTACGTGGTCATTTTTCCTTTTTTTTTGTTTTAATACAACAATAGTATTAAGCTAGACTTATCAGTCTGCTTTATTATTATTGTTGTATTAAAACAAAAAAGGAATTTAAATTAAAGTAAAAATAATGTGGAAACTAGGAAGATGGCTAGGTACCTACCCAAAACAGGGCTGTATAGCTAAATGCCTTTGCCGATAGTAGATCTATATATTTAAAACGAATGAAGCTGTAATGTATCACTGGCTCCCAATCACGTTCTACGAAGAAATTTTTTGTTAGGAAGTTGGTCGTCTGATACCTACCTACTAAGTCTGTGCGTAAATGACAATCTGTGTAAATGACACTGCTTCTGTTCTGTTAAATTTCTTAAATACTTACATGTTTTTAACGGTAATAAATACTTATCTAACTTAGACAGTACAGTAGTAAATATTTATAAATTGTTTAGAAATGTCTGCAGTTGGACAAAATAATCAACAATTACAACAAGATTTACACAATGAATTGACTACAACCAATCTGCTACTGAGATTAATGTATGTTTGAGTTTAGTTTAAATTTCTGTGTATGTAAATTGATATTTATTTATTTACTAAATCTTGATATTTATCAGCTCAATTGAATTACAAGAAATAAAAGAATTGACACGTGCCGGTGGAGAATTCGAAAGTAACATTACCCAAGTGAGTATAATTGTTGATTAGAAATTGTTTTAATCTAACCATTAAGTGTTTCATAATTTAATATTTATATTTTCTTCACCAGAACACAACCTTACTTGAAACTCTGGCAAACATGCAGCAAGTTGATTTGGAAAATTTAATCCCAATTAGAGGAAAAGAAAATACATAATATTTAATAATAAAAGCATGATTTTCAAATCTTGCTTTTATATAAAGTCTAAATAGTTTACTAAGACATTATATATAATATATATAGATCAACATTCTGATTTTGTCTGGTCAGTGAAACTCAATTGTCATTCTCTGTTGTTACTTCATTAAAAAATAATGTAATAAAAAAATTCTTTTGTGAAAGATACAATAATTAATAAACTCTTCTAATCTGTACATAAAATGTTTTATTCAAATTCTTTTACATTATTATATTTAACATCACATAAAAGTATAATAAAATGTAAACTACTAAACAATAATAGTATTACGAAAGGCAACATTCAATCTTTAATGTAACATCTTTTAGCAAATTCATGAATAAAAAGACATTGGTTAATAATATGGGATTATAAAACTCTTTGTTTATTAACAACTATAATATTTATTTAGCTTATTTTTAAAATACTATATACAATCTTAGTTATCATACTCAAGACAGTATTGATTTGTGATTTTTTATTAAATTAAATAATGGGCATAAGTTCACTTCTGTTTCTTAAAATTTAATTGCTTTAATAAAATAAATCTTTTAGACACCAGAGACATTTTGTTTTCTATTATGGCATTATGTTCTGCCTCCACACCACTTCATTATTATCTGTTTCAATGTTGGTGAATACCTGACAGAAAATACATAGCAAATCACATAACACTGGAAGAGACAAATGTCAAATAAAACATTCAACCTAGCACACTTGATGATGCATTAATATATCTAGGGCACTTAAAGCACAATTCTAGTGACATGTGGATCTTTCATTTGATGTAAACCTACTTTTATAAATTAATATAAAACTGAATCAAAACATATAAATAGGCATTTGGGATAATAATATATTCTTATTCACAAACTAATGATTAGGCACATCTTTGTATTCCAAGTAAGATGCTGGGTAAAGATATAATAATGTTTTGTTTCTACTTAATTATTCTCATGTAGGTGATTTTATTGTACCATAAACATGATTCTATTAATATATTAGGAATCATTTTTATTTTTATACTTCCCATTATTTAACAAATTGTTCTAAAAATAAGATATTTTATTATATTAAAGCCAAGCAACATCGATATTGATTTGTTTTGACAGGAACTACCTACTTTTCTAATTAATATATTTTCATACTTTATTAGTGCCATGATTTCCCTGTGCTTCTCCTTTAATCCTTAATGGTTCCACTGTAATTGGAGATTCTATTTATTTTTTTCAATCATATTGTTGCAATATTTCCTTAAGCCATGGTAACAGCTTACAGACTAGAATATGCTTTATAATACTGTTTTTTATTATTGTTGAAATAGAGCTGCTTTTTCTTTGAATCTCTGCCGCCGCATCGCTTTTTCTTCGGCCTCTCGCCGCTTCTCTTCCTGTTCTTGAATTATTTCGTCGTGAAATTTGTTTGATTTTGAGAGCTCCTCGATTTTAGCTTCGAAAAAAGTTTTGGCCCCGTTTACACCGACTTGGTCGACATTAATTTCTGTTAATCTCGCAAATGCTTCTAAACCGGAGTCTGTTTCGAGTTCTCCAGCACGTGCTTTTCTGTTAAAAAACAAATAGTACCTATTAATCGTTAAGCTCTTAATGCACATTGAAAAAATATGTCGAAGTTAATATTTAGCATTAGTGATATTTTAATACGCATTAGATGTTTAAACGAAAGGAAAAGTTTGTATTTGGAATGCCCCGCGTTATTCATATTAAACCCCCTTAATAAAAATAGGAAGACAAATACAAATCTACTCCCATTAAAAATGCTAAAAATAATATTTCAAAGTTTAAAAATGAAGACGCTTGAAGACGACGAATAAATTGACGCTTATTAGAATGTTTAGCATGTTCTGTGTGAATATCTATAAATACAAAATATATTATTAACCGATATAAAAAAGGAAGAGATTCTTTCTGTTGAATATGTTGAAATCAATTTTTGTTCCGTAATATCTCTTTGTAATATACATTACCTACTTATTAAAGCTTTGTTTAAACAAATCCAATATAAAAGTAGAAAACGGAGACCGAAATAATATTGAGCTAAATCGTTATTTTGATAATGGAGTCATACTTAGAAATAATTTTTGAAAATGTTTGGATGCTGCTCATTTAAAAAAAAAAATCTGCGTTAGTTCCGGAGGAATATACATATTAATGTATACGTTTCAGATCAATAACCCTAATTCAGTCTACCTACTCCGATCACTGGTTAAAATATCATACTTAAAAGATAATCCCATGAAAAAAAACGAAAACAACAACTCAGTGAATTAAGTTAACAAATTATGAACGTTCTTGTGAAATCTGATGATTGATAAAATAATAAATAAATTAAATATTAAACGAAAGTATAACGAACGCTCAAAATTTATTAATTAGTTGAGCATTATTTTCAAGATTTATTGTTATTGCTTTTATAATTTTTATAACTCAAGAAGTTTACGTATAATCTTACCTATATATAAGTAAGAATTCCCTGAAACTGATTCTGTTGTCGCCGTCTTCGTCCACCTCGGCTATCATCGCCTTAAGCCCCAGGTGAGTCTGTGGTGCGCCCAGCCTCTCCATCATGCGTTTCACTTCTGTTAGATCGAGGAAACCATCTCGCCCTTCATCAAACCTGATGACAAAATATTTCAGTTATTCAATGGTTGAACAATTATCGCTAGAAATTAAACTAGCGAGGGCAAGACACTGAATCGATTTGCAATATTTTACACTTAGTAGTTGCTGTCTCGCGACTTCACACGCGTAAATTATAGTCTATGTCCACCCCTTACGATGTAGCTAAGAATTTTTAAAATCGGTTTCAGTAGTTTCAGGGTCCATTCGATGCAAACAAACAAACATTCAAATCTTTCCTCTTTATAATTTTAGTATAGACAAGCTTTTTATATTGATCTTTTTATATTGATAAAACCTTATTTGTGTCATTTAAAAGATCCCACCACTCAACTTACAGCGGGAAGCTACTTTGTTTCATACTATGTACATATAATTAAATATTTTCATTTATCGTTTCACATTTCATTCATTTTATAACATAAAGTTTTTAAATTTTATTACATATTAATAAACGTATCGTATCACGGAGCGTGCGAAATATTGAAATATCATAAAATTTATAATTCGTGCTTAGCCCCGTTCAAAAGTTGTTTAACATATTACTAAGTAATAATTTATTTTTACTACTTTTTGGGTAAGCTAATTATACCATGCTTGTCACGCAGTCTAACTGACGCTACGCCACAAACGATGATAATATAAGCCAAATCATCACTTATACAGAAGCACCGTTTGGCCATTGTGAAGCGTCATGAATATGTCTTTGTAATCCTGCACGCCGAATACTAATTACTTTGTATTTCATTCTTTAAATATGCCACTTTCACGTATGTACTTGCGGCATTAGTTACATTTTGAAACTAAATTATATTATGAAGGACAGTAAATTGGTATTCATACATTATCATCATGATACCCGAGGAGAGTAAGTAGACAATATAGGTTGTTCTATACAATATGGTTAACGTACCTAAGTCATGTAAGTGGATAGTATTACAGACTAGGTAAATAAGCACGCGTACTATACTAATGCAAAGTAAGGTAGGATTACCTTTGTTTGCTTTATTTATTTTCAGTGTTTTTCAATTGCGTAGACCACGTCATAAAACTAAATCATTCATGGGGTTATGAATTCAAACGTTAGTCCATAAAACGAATTAACGTGTACAAACTAGAAGAGAGAAATTCCAATACAATCATAATTAAAAACAAAGTTTTCTTTTGTCTTTGACTGCTTATAATTTTTATATTAATAGATTTGTAATGTCTTTTTTGAGTAACGAGATAATGATATTCCATTATAACATCGCAAAATTGTAATTCCTTTGTTAGTTTTAATAATATCGATGTTTCTTCCTAGTAAGCCGATTTTCCCTAATATCGTCCTCTAACATCTTAACAGCCGCCGCATGTGACCCTCATATCGGCATAGTTTCAAAGAAGTTAGGTCAATAAAACTACAATAATTCTTGCTAGTCTTAGCCTCTGTTTTAGTACCTAATTAAAATAATAAAGATCATAATTATTCAACATTGTTAATGAAAATAAAAAGGAATCACGAACCAAATTACTATAAATAATTACCGAATAACATCAACCGAAAATTTTACGTTACGCATACGCATCTTCAATTGAAATGCATTAAATAGTGATTGAAATTACATTATTTTTTAGCCACATCGATATATTAAAACAATCATCAGTTCTAGGGACCTCACTGCGAAAGGTTATAAGTTCGTTAAAGTTCTTTTTTTTCCTTTCTAGGGTTGGTTTTGGTGCCAAAATCTAATGCAATAAGCATAGAAATATCTTCTTAAAGACATCTTAGCCAGAAGTTTTCTTGGATATTTTAGAATTTTATTGCCTGCAAACTGTGGAATATTTAATTCCGGCTTACAGTAATGTCGATAAAGAAAAGTCAAAAGTCTAATGCAATACCAATATTAGTTACTAGCAAAGAAAGGACACTATAATAAAGTGGTCGTTATTACGTATCGACGATTTGACGTTTTAATGCATTTCCCCAATATCGACCACTCGGACAATATTGAGATTTGCGAATAAGACAGATCCCTAATCACGGCCCCTCGATTATTTTATAAAAAAGTACAAAGAGATGTAAAAGTATGCTGTCTAAACGGTATTTTGAATATTTTTCTTCAAAAAGAAATAAAGTGACCAAATGACGTACGTTTGCACCTGCCCGCGCTTTATTATCAACTGAATGTTCAAATGTTGGGGTACCCACACCAAGATATGGGAAGTGATTGGTAAGGAAGGATATAGAGTTACTTTTTGCGAAAAACACTTATAATTTTAGGAATATTTTTATGTATATATATTCCATTTTCTTGAAACGGTCGATATTAAGCGGTGGCCGATACTAGGAGACTCCACCCTATACCTACATGTATAAGAAATCAAATCTTCATCAATTTACCGAAAATACGGTGTAAAAAATAGTGACCATGAAATTATTGTTTCACATATTTTGACATCTATATCGCAATGGACAGACAGGGTCAGTTGATATTGACTAACCAATGAATAGAAACATGACTCCTAATATAGCGTAAACGTGGTTCACATGAATTCATTTGAAATAGTCTAACGGTAATGCGATGCATATAAATTACATAATATTTGATTTTACACTGACTGCGTTTAAATGCATAGGTACAATACTACCAGCAAATGTTAGTGAATGGAATGAATACAAATTGCATTGTCTAGTCCGGTTTCTTCAAGGTGAAGCAAGGTAAGCCTGTTAGCCAGACGGACGATTACCTCTATTATGCACATTTGATACAATAACTTAACTGTGTTTTACAACAGTAACAAAATACGATTCTTTCGAAACATATATATTTAAGATTCAATAAAAATGCAAACAGGAATTCTAAAAATCTCGTTTGAGATAAACGAAACTTGTTTTTTTTATTGATATTGATCATTAGTCTATCTACTTACTTGTAAAATAGCTTTTCCTGATTCATTGACTGACTAACGTTAATCGCAGTCGAACATAAACTATTGAAGCTGGATTCGTGATCTTTGATCAGTAAATTCACGAACGAATGGTATTTTCGAAGTTCAATAGTGGTTGAAAGTTTGTTTCCTCATTTTGAAGTTCGAAACATGAAACTTTATTTAGCGTAAAAACAAATGTTACTGATTCATTGTATAAATAGAGGTCGAAAACTAAGATATATTCAATTTAATTAATCTAACGCTCCAATTTATTTTCGTAATTATATAAATTATTTGCGTGAGAACTTTAAAATATTGGAGGCAATTAAATTAGACTACGCAATTGGTCGCAAGTAATAATTAATATTAACTAAATACGTCTATGCGGAACTGCGTTATTGTGCAAAAATAAAAACATTAGAATTTCATTACATTAGCTGTATTTAATTGGTATTATCACGCGATGTTGACATGCTGTCTTTCGTATTGTAAGTAATTTTATTCAACGAATTTGTCGATTTGTTTATTTATGTGTATAGATAGATAAAAGTATCTATTACTATTAATGTTACTGTGTTTATCATATTTGTTTTTTGGAATTTCTTTCAAAATACTCTTTAAAATCTAACGCGACTAAAGGTGTAGTAAGTAGGTATGTAATATATTTGCTTTATATGGTTTTTTATTTGGTGATAATTCATCGATTTAAGAGAAGAATCGTAATAATTTCATAAAAATCTAAGTCCGTTTTATAAAGTTATATCACTAGTAAAATAACAATTCTAATTGAATAACCAAAAAAGTCGGGAGTATATATCGAGAACTCTGCTGGAGTCGATATTGTATTCTCAATTCTAAAAATAACTTTTTGTTGGAGTAGAGTAAACAGACAGGTATTGAAGATTTAATAATCGTCGTTTAGTCACAGCTTCATTTTGTTTTTCTATATTTATTAAACGCCGTATTGCGCCATCATCTGTAGTAGCCTATCTAATTGATGTACGCGTTCATTCATCAAAGAGGTGTACTTAGGAATATGTAGGTATGTCTATGTCGCAGCCAACTGGTTAAAACAGTTGTTCAATTGGGCGGCTAGTCATGTGATTGGATAGAGCCATTCAATTGCACGCCTTGTTTTCTAGTTGAAGCATTGTGACATTTGGACTGTTCACCAAAACGGCTGATTTAAACCACCAAAACGTTAATTTAGTTTTGTTATCTGTTAAAAAAAAATAACCTCGAAATTAAAGTCTTTGTATAATTGTATTTAAGAATTTATTATGAAACTTTAAACCTAACCCACTTGCGTTATGGGTGTGTACGTTAGTTCCCTATATTGGATCATACGGACGAACGAATAAGTAATTTATTATAATTTTCGTGTGAATTATTTCACTTTTGTGTGTTCTCCTCGTTAGCACAGAATATATTCTGTGGCGTTAGAACCCTAAAGACTATTTGGTCGTTTGTCGACATCGATTTGGGCTAATTCAACTTTTATATTTAATTATGTGGGTACACACATGTCTTGAGTTACCATCTAAGTATATTTACAATTGAGAATAGCTTTAATAATATTTTGATTTTTTTAACTAGGTACTTACATGTATTTATCTTCAATTTGTATTATTTAAATATCACGGAGAATAATTGAGATCCCGAATTTTCTGTGTATAGGTATGAGTGTATTCAAAGATACAAGATGTAAGTCCGTGTCAAAGTATTATAATAACTCACTATGGCGACAAAATGAATACATAAATGTATGTTTAAAATACTTAATGTATTACTCAATATACAGCTTTTGCGTAAAGCCGTAAATTTTGCAGATATTTCACATGACTCCAATAAAAAGTGTATCTTGTAATAAACTATTAATGGCCGCCCACAAAACTAGGTCGATAGTAAAATGGTAGGTTTAGGAGACTGTCGGCATGGCATCATACTGAAATCCAATAGAGGTTACTAAATACGGTCCACAACGTTTGATCTAGAATGATGGCAAGTCACTATTAAAGTATTGAGGACATTTTTATTGACCGTTCAATATCAATTCCAAGCAGTCTTGTGAACTATACTACCTAA